TTCCTTCTTTTTTCCCAAAAACATGAGATTTGGGGAGTCCAATAGATTGAACATTGGACAAATATTCAGTACAAAACTCAATCGCTTTTTCGACAATGCATCGTTCAACAGTACATCCCTCTGGTCGACTTCAGTTTTTCACATACCCTTTTAATATTTTCATATAACGTTCAATAGGGTACATCCATTTCATATAAGTTGGTCCACACAATTGTGTATCTTTCACAAGATGAACAACTAGATGAACCATTATGTCAAAAAACGAGGGAGAAAAATACATTTCAAGCTGACACAAAGTAATAACTATTTATTATTGCAATGATGGTAAGATCGCATGATCGATCACCTTACTACAAATGGACCTGAAGAAAAAACACAATTTAGTTATTGCGCTACTTACTTTTTTTGGAAAAATTGAACGTATACCTATTGGTAGAAAAATGTTCCATTATAACATGGAAATCATGTGTATTTAAACTCTTTAACTTGAGGTCTTCCATAGACAGAAGTCTTCTAATATCTGAAGATATCCTTCTGGAACTTTAACGTCACTTAGAAACTTACACAGTATCTTTTTCTCCTTTCTAGATAGAGTATAAGCAGCAGGTGGTAGATATGTTCGTTTTCCTTTCTTCAGGGGTCCTAATTCATTTCTTATTTCCATTTCTATCAAGTCCTTTCTTTATTTAAGGCCATCCTTAGACTTACACGGTAGTGATGATTGGAATTTAAGAATCTACGATGGCCGAGAAAGACATTCTTCTAACAAAATTCCAATCGCGTCCAATCTGTGTTTTCTTCGCAAATAGGACACGCAAATTGACCTTTAATGCTATACCCTGATAGGTTTTCATATGCTGGAAAATTATTAATTGTGCCAAAAAACATCTCCCTCAAATTGAAAATTTCTTTCCTGTATCCATCATAAACCTCCACACCGTTCTCCCATAAAATCTTTAAGTCTTCGATTAAAGGTGTCAAGTATACGTCTATGTCATTCCCTGGTTGTTTAGGCCCAGAAGTCAACATCATGTACTTACGCTTCGTACATAGCCATGGAGGTAGGTTATAAATCATAATAATCACATGCCATGTGGAATGTGAGGTACTTTGCAGACCATGTGGGTTCATTCCATCAGTAGATAATGCCAACCGAAGGTTTCTTGCTTCTTCTCCAAAATCAGGATATTCATTGTCAATTTTCATCCACTGTGGTGAATTTGTCGGATGTCGAAACTTTCCATCTATAATTCTTTCATATGCATGCCAAGTCAAGTGTTTTGCATCGGTTTCACTATGAAACATGCGTCTAAATCTCGGAATTATAGGAAAATACCATAAGACTTTTGCTGGAGACAATTTTTTCTTATATCGAGAGACACCGCATTTAGGGCCCTCATTCAAGAATGCATATTCATTTTGAAACAAAATGAAATCATTTGGACAAGCATCCATCTTATCATTGCTCATGCCAATAGAGCACAATTTTTTTGCCCTCATAGGTTCGATTGGGAAGAACATTATCATCTGGAAGTATCTCTTTCATAAGTGATAATAACTCTGTGAAACTTTTATCCGACCATCCATTACCCGCATTTAAGTTGTACAACTTTAATACCACATACAATCTTGTGAATTTAGTGCAACCTTTATACAACGGTTTCTCTGCATCGCTTACTAACTTCTCAAACATTTTGGGACAATCCTGAAGATCTTCTTCAAGTGCTTCTGCAATCTCTTCGACTCGATCACAGTCGTATGTATCTGTGCCATTATCCTTTGAAGCATAGGTCCTATTATCCCCCCGGTTCAACATTCTCGTTACGTATCTCACCATGTAGTATCCAACACGTATATCTTCAATCAATTCCATGCCTCTTTAAATGTGATTCCAACTGAATTGTGTCATTCCGATGCCCATAATAGCAACCTAAGCAAGGACATGTGATCCAACTGGGGTCTTTGGCATGTTCAACAACAAACTTAACGAATTCTGATACCCCATCCTCGTACTCTTTTGACAATCGATTGGAAGACACCCACTTCTTATCCATGGTTTTTACTAAGTAAGCTAAACAAAAACACTAATTACTCACGCAACTATAGCTACCGAACAACTATAGCAAACGTGCAAATTCAATCACACTTAATGTTTTAACTCAAGTAAGTCACAAAAAATCATCAATTCGAGCGTAAATCAATCACCAAAATTATCAAATCCACATTTAAATTACCAAATATAACAACTTTTCGTCACTTAAATTCAAATAATCAACAACATCATAATATTCAACAATTTGTTCACGAATGTCATTCAAGTTTCAATCAACAACATCATCAATTATGAAAAATAAATTCATAATGTCATCACTATTCACCATCTTCAACCTTAACTATTAACAATTAATTTAGTTATCATTTGCAATAAAAAAAATCGATTAAGACAAAGTCATTATCACTATTCATCATCACTAACATTCAACATTAACTTATAAAATTATTAACACCAAAACTCAAAAACATAAATCACCACAAACCTCACTATTCATAATCTTGAACCTTACTAACTAAAATGGCATTCAAACTTCCATTGAAGTCAAATAACAACAACATCACAATGTAAAGAAATAAACAAATAAACAATTAAACAAATACCATGCAAATAAATTTGAAACTGAAGAAAATGAAGAAATACCTTCAACAATGGTGGAGCGCGACCGCCGAAATCGTGAGGAAGAAACGGATGTCGGAGGATAGAGACTTACAGTGACGGAGGTTGCTACGGCGGATAGAGACTCATAGTGACGGAAGCACGGCTGGACGGAGGAAGAAGCGGCGGTCGAAGGTCTGGTAGGGTTCGGAAGTGCGTCTGAGAGTGAAACAGAATATGTGCAGAAACAAAATACGAATTCTGTTTTAATTTAAGAAAAATGACCTATAGAATCGCTTTTTAAAAGCTCTTTCTCCCCCCCTATATCAGCGCTTTTTAAAAGCGCTTTCTTCCCCCCCCCCCCCCCTATACCAGCGTTTTCATATGCTAGCCCTTTAGCAACGCTTTTGAAAAGTGATGTCTAAGGTGTGACCCAGACACCCCTTTTAGCAGCGCTTTTTTAAAGCGCTTTCTAATGTTGGGCTTTAGCAGCGCTTTTCCGAAAAGCGATTTCTATTGGTTACTTACTTATGACCTTTAGCAACGCTTTGCAAAAGCACTTTCTAAAGATCTCCTTTAGCAGCGTTTTTTCTCTTTTTCAAAAGTACTTTGTAGTGCTACCAAAAAATACTTTTGGCGTAGTGACTTCAATGATTTGTGATTCAAGTTAATCAATAACTTGATACCCAATTCTCACCGCAACATTAGTCATCTCCCTAAAGTGAACAGAATTATGAAGTACATAAATGGAGTTTGTGACTATAATATTATCTATTTGTATGATACTAACTCAATACTTATAAGGTATTGTGATGCTTATTAGAGTGAGAGTGTTGATAATAAAAAGAGCACATTTGACAAATGTTTTTTTCTTGGCAACAATTTAATATAATCGTTAAAGAAGAAGTAGAATTGTGTCTCTTTATTTAAGGTAACAATCAATAATATTATTTTTCTTCAAATTCAATTAACAAAAATTATTTTCTTTGAAATGAATAACTGAAAAATCATTTTCTTTAAAATGAATCACAAAATCATGTTATTTAAAAAGAACCAAAAACAATTATTTTTTATTTAGAATTACGTAAATTTAAATTCTTTATCACAACGATATATATATATATATATATATATATATATATATATATATATATATATATATATATATATATATATATATATATATATATATATATATATATATATATATATATATATATATATATATATATATATATATATATATATATATATATATATATATATATATATATATATATATATATATATATATATATATATATATATATAAAAGCAAAAGCAAAATATCACTCTTGTCAAGTACAATAATAAAAAAAACCTTTAAATTTTCTTTCATTTTCAAATATCTTGTCATATAAAAAAAAACTAAAAATCAAAATATTTTAATAGAATTTTAATTTATATTCAATAGTATGGAGAAATCAATATTTTACAAGTTAACAACTTTTTTAATAAATAATTAGATGTAATTATTTTTTTAAAATGGATGTCGTGCAATGCTAATACATTTCTTATATATAATGTTATTTGTTTTACTATTGGCCATTTTTATCGATAATATGTCTCTTAAGGGTCAAAACTTAGACCAACTCCAATGGGAGTTCTTAAGGTGGGTTTGCCAACATGGCATCCATATTTGTTGTTTTCAAGATTGCCATGTTGTTGAACGGTTCTTAATTAAGCAACGGTTCTTCAACGGTTCTTATATTAAAATATTAATTTTATAATCTAAAAGCTATAATTTAATATAAAATTTTATTTATTATTTTAATTATCATATGAAAATTATAATTACAATATTAAAATATTAATTTTATAATATAAAAACTATATTTTAATTATAAGTTGTGGGACTCAACATGAGTTCTTCATAGTTGCACCATTGAAGTGAAAATTTAATTGAGTTGCTTTAAGCTGACGTGGCTTAATTGGTCCCACAAAGAACCCAAAAATGAGTTCATGGTTGGAGAATCAGCCAGGAAGCAAGAGTTTAACAACTTTTAACTAACACATCACTTAAACTAGGATCAAAAGCCGACCGATTCCGTTTTGTTGTAACCCATGAGGGAACTTTCGTGTGATGATTCAAACTTTGATGTTCACACGGTTATTAAAATAGCAAAGTCTTTTTAAAGAAAAAACAACATTATTTCAATTGACTAGTTGACTTCATTGTGTTTTTTATATAAATATTCACAACTCTCATCCTTACTTCATCACCATTTCATCGGCAATAAACAACACTTGTCTCATTCGTTTGCAATTCTAACCAACAATTCTTAATTACTTCTCATAAACTTCAACCATAATGAAGGTTAAAACTAGAATCATGAAATCCATTTCCTCTCTTTTCTCATTTATGTGGTTTGTTAATATACCCTTTAATTATAATAGTTGTTTGTTTATTGTAACAGAAAGTAGTGTTGAAGCTGGATATTTATAATGATAAAATCAAGCAAAAAGTTATGAAGACAGCGTCTAGTCTTTCAGGTAATGAAATTTCATATAATACTATATATTATGTAGTACATAAGTTAATATTTCTATAATCAAAGATTGAAGGATTCAATGATTTTGCAGGGGTTGAATCAATATCAATAGACATGAATGAGAAGAAATTGACACTACTAGGAGATATTGATCCGGTAAAGGCAGTTTCCAAGCTACGAAAATTGTGTCATACTGAAATAGTTTCTGTTGGACCTCAAGAAGAGAAGAAGGAGTCAACAAATGTATCTATTCCTATAAACTCCTTTCAACCCTATCCATTCTATTATCAAGTATATTAGAGATTGCTACTATATCTTTAGTGAATAACAAAAACAGAATCCAAATGTCTATGCTATCTGCTCAATTATGAGCTTCATAGATTTTAATAAAATACATCTAGTGTTTTTATTGGTTTCCATTTTTTTTTTATCATTTTTATTTTCGCTAACCAATTAAATTTAATTTATGGTCTCTCACCAAATATTTCCCAAAAGTATTGATTGAAAATTATTGTCTCACCAAATATTTCACAAAAGTATTGATTGGAAATTAACACATAATAATAAATCAATATGATGCAAAAATATATTTTTAAAAATATATAAGAACCTAGGAGGATCAACAAGAAAATATATTACAGCAAATAGAATAAATAAAGGCACAAGAGAACTTCAATATTTTAATATGAAAAATTCTCCATGTAAAAGTGAAAAAATTATGGGTCATTCGGCCAAAGAAATTGGTTCACCGTAATCAATAAAAATACAAGAAAATCTTAAAGTGATGCACAAACTAGTGAAAACAATAGTCAAACTACAAAGCAAACTAGCTTACAAATAACTCTTAACTTCAGTGCGAAGTCAATATGATCTCAGCTTAGATTTTATTTAAAAGGTTCAAACGATTAAAAGACACAAGTGTTGCGAACCTATCCTAAAAAGTTATTTATAATCCAACGATTAACTAATTTGAAATAGTTGTTTACAAGAAAACAAGAATTTGTTTCTCTCTTCTTTTCGCTTTTTTTAGGTCTCTCTCTCTCTCTCTCTCTCTCTCTCTCTCTCTCTCTCTCTCTCTCTCTCTCTCTCTCTCTCTTAAAAAGACCATCTCCACTTAGGATAAGGGAGACACAAATGGACTAACATATTTGAGTCTTTCTCCACATAGGAAGGAAGAAAAAATCCAACAAATATCCCCTCACAACAATGTGGGGGGAATCTCCAAATTGATGATATCACAACAAGCTTCAAACTTCCTTCTTGGTAACATTTTAGCATTCATATGAGAACTATTAACACCAGTATGAACTTTAGCTAACTCCAATAACTTAGTATCTAAAACATCACGTATCCAACGATATCTCACATCAATGTGTTTGGACTTATTACGAAAAAGTTAAATTTTAAAAAAGTTAAATAACACTTTGACTATCAATAAATAACACATATGTGTCTTGAACATATCCAAGCTCTTGTGAAAATTTCTTCAACCATAACAACTCTTTTCATGCTTCAGTAATGACAACGAATTCTGCCTTTATAGTATACAATGCTACACGTTTTTGGCAATATAGATTGACAAATCATAACTCCTTCTCCAAATTTAATCATATAGCCTGAAGTAGACTTTCTAGAATCAATGTCCTTATCCATATCTTAGTCAGAATAACTCTATAGAGTAAACATATCTCCTCCAAAGTAAAGTCTCATACTAGTAGTACTGTGAAGTTACCTTAAACCTAATTTTACAATATTTCAATGTTCTCTATCTAGATTTGACAAAAATCCAGTGATTGTGCAGTTTATATGTGTTATATCTAGTCTTGTACACACCATTGTATACATCAAACTATGGATCTATTTACTTGCAAATTTAGTCAAAAAGTGATCGTAGATGGTAAAGGTTAACTAGTAGCTACTTAGTTTTTAGAATGACAATACTTGAATTCAAACAACTGTTGAAGATCGCTAAAATTGTCAAAGATACACAAGATAGTTAATCAAGCTATCCACTAAAAGCAAGCCAGGCATTTTTTAAAAGTCAACATTATAGTCCAACAACTTTCAAGTGAAGACTCTGGCTTAAAGGATAATTGGATGTTTGACCTATCAACTCTTAAATGATGGTAATAAAAAAGAAGATATCTCTAGCCTTCTCAAGAAGACTCAAGGTTCTTGTGTGATGCTAAAATCAAAGATAATGATGCAAAATCTTGAAGCTTTAGAGGGTGAAAAAGAGGAAGTGTGAAAGTTCACCTAGTTGTTTTTGTCTGAGCGACCAGTGTATTGTAAAGACACAAAGGTATTTCTAGAAGCATTATGGTTAAATCACACACACATTAAAATTTTTTTGAAGCCTCTCATTTTTAAAATAAAATCACCAAAAAATGTTTTTGGCGCCTAGCCAGTTGATCAAGGGATTGTTTGTTAGATAGAGAGACTTATTGTAATTGTCTAATTGACTAGATCATTTTCCTAATTGAATATATGATTCTTAGTCGAGTATATAATCCATTATGGTAGTCTCTTAATGATTGGTAACAAATTTATATAAAAATCTTCCATTTTGGGCCTCAACATTCAATTATTTGAGGTGCCTAGTCGATTAGCCTAATCGATAAAGTGAGTTAATTGACCATGAATTTTTTTCCAAATTTATATCACGCCTTGACCTATAAATATGTAGCTTCTCTATCACCTTTTCACATCTAGAAAACCTGAAAAACCTCATTTTTCATTTCTCTCATCACATCTCTAAATCTTTCATATTTCATCACATATTATAGCCATAATTCTTTGAGAGTGTTCTTGAGTCTGGTGAGGAATATTGTTATGGGTGAGGACTAAATTTAAAATTTACCAAAAGTTAATATTTCTCTTGTGTAAAAATATTTTCCATAGAAATTTATTATTTGTGTTGGGCGCTAAATCATTTCAAATGCTCTTGTTTGTATTTGGGAATTGGTCTTTGTCTTCTTTTGGTTCGTGAGCTCCGCCATTGAAGAAAAAACACTCTTTTATTTCGTGAAGATCATCTAATAAAATCTCCGCAACAATTTTTGATCTTAGCTCAATTAAAAGCTCTATCAGTTTTGGATCAACTAGATGTAAAATCTCACTTGGTTTATGAGTTCAATCTGGTATAAAAACTCAGTAGGTTTAAGGTTAGTCTGATAAAATTCTCTATTCTATTTGAGGTCACCTTGTATAAAACCCCAACTCAGTTTGGAGGATATCTAACTAAAAAATCGGTCTTGGTTCAAGATCAACTTGTGCAATATCTCTGGTTGTTGTGAACACTAACTGCTTCGAGACTTTTTCATTGTTTGGTTAGAAGTTAGCCTAAAACATATTTCCTTGTATATGGTGATTTATGGGCATAACCTTAAAAAAAATTCTCAAGCATAGTGAATACTCTCAAAATCAATTCTTGTGGACATGATTATATTTTTTTTGGTCAAACCTGTATAATTCTCTGGTTTTACTTCTCTTCCCTTATCTCATTTGTTTTTCTAGTTATTTTTCTTTATCTTAAATTTACACTGCATATTTTTAAATTGTTTTAAATCATAATTTTACCCCTTAATTTTACCAACCTCCACAATTCACCTCTTAATTTGTATGGAGTCACATGTCCCACAACATACTATTGCACCCCAAAATTTGACCAACATTTATTTACCTAGCTTGTGGTTCATCTCATTCATCATCTACTTCTCATTGATATGGGTGCAGTAGATCAAGAGATATGATTACCCATCAAGAGCTATATAATACTTTGAAGCTAGCCAAGAAGGTTATTCAAGTGTTCAAAGGTTGATATCTTTGTCAGAGAACTCAAGAGATCCTCAGAGAGATTGGTTGAAACCAAGGTTGTGTGTCTCATAACTTGAGAGTGGTGGGAGCTCCTCAGATGATTCTGAGGCTATAAGGATGGACTTGAAGCTTTGAGAAAGCTTATGAGATGTCTTGAAAGCCATCATGAAGCCTAGAGAGGTCATTGTACAAGAATTCAGAAGATTCAGCCATGAGTGGTGGAATTAGGGTTTGACTGGGTCAACCCTAGGTCAACTGATGATTTGGTGAGGGTTGATACCTAATACAAGAGCCATGTGATCATGGATTGATGCATTGAGATGCTATAAGAATGATTCCTATACCAAATCATCATGATTGAAGAGTTTGAGAAGTTTCAAGCTAGGGTTTCTAAGGCTTGACAGTGTAAAATCCCCTAGTTTGATCCCTATCTTCAAGGCAGTTTAGCTCAAGATGTGATTGTCATCTCATCTTCCCCACAACATGAATGTTGTAGAGCTTGCTCTTAGATTTAATTTGAGTACTAGAAGTCCTTGATAGGATTTGTAGAACTCAAGTTATGACCTTGACAAGTTACAGGTCATCTGAGGTATGTGAATCTGGGTCCTTGAAAGTCACCCAACTTGCATCCAACTTTTTCCCTAGTAGGATGATTCCTATGGATTCTTGGTCAACATGAATGTTGTTCCTCATCTTCTTAGATTTCTAGAGAGTACTAAAAGTACTTTATATGATTTGTAGAACTCAACTTATGGCTTTGACAAGTCAAGGGCATTTTGGTCATTTGGATATTATAGGTCATTTCAAGCATAAGGCCATATCTCCTATTTCCATGCTTCAAATGGAAAAATCTTCAACATCAAACTTGCTTAGAATGATGTTTTAAGGCTAGTAAGGAGGTCATGAGATGTTGAAAAGGCTTGTATCAAAATGGCCTAAAATGGAGGCATAAGTTAATTAAGTTGAAATTGGAAATTGGAAATCCCAAGTTACACATCCAAACCATGCCATATAATAGGTCACTTTGACTCTAAAAGACATTCTAAAAACAATGGTTCAGCCACAATTTTGATTTGAGGCCTAGATCATAGGGCTGCTTTGGAAATTGGTTGCTTGCATCTTAAGGTTCAAAGGCAAAACTTAAGAAAACTCAATAAACAAGTTAGTTATGCATCTCAACACCTCATAAATCTCATATGGGGAGAATTTCAAGTCAGTTACAAGGGTTGCAAGGGCTATGGCATGAGATAGCACATACGGAGAAGTGAATTCATAAAATCATGACATGAGATTTCCAATTTCTCATGGGAAGGTTCTAGATGGTTCTAGATGATTCTAAACCACTCTATATAACCCATAGGACTTGCTCAGATGCAAGGTTGGTGTAAGATTTGAGAGAAGAGAGAATTGGTCATTTCAATTGCCTCCATTGCAAGTTGAAAGTGAATTCCACATTCTGAACCATTTCCATTCATTCTTTCCAT